TGATGGCTAATCTAGCAAGTCTAGTGTATTATATAGGACCCATGTTATAAATCTTTGAATCAAATTAATGTCAGTCATGGTTCCTTTCTTGATGTCTAGAATTTATATATTTGAGTTCCTCTTGATCTAAGTAAATATATAAGTATGAATAAATGGGTGTATGGTGCTATATCTCACTAGAAGAAAGGTATATAGGCCTTCTATGCTGTATCCTCCCACACTCTTAGAATATTCCTAAAATCTCACTCTCTTCAAGGTGTATTACAACAGACAACCACAGGTAGATCAAGTAACTGTTTGGTGCTAACTGGTTTCCAGGAAATAGCTAATTGGAATCTTTGATAGAGTCAAACTATACAATAAGAAAAGAGAGAGAAAAAGTGGAAAAAATATGAAGAAAAACTAGTGAGAAAGAAGAAAGAGAGAAAGACTAAAGAAACAGATAGGAAATGCCTTAAACTTTTGGTAGATGACTAAAATTTTAAAGGAGATCATCTTTATAATATAAGTCTAGAAAATTATAACCTATTCATGAAGAAGGTTTCAATTAAGTAGATGCCACCATTGGGGAAAATTAATATCCTCAAAGCTCACCTTTAGCCTTGATTGTGTATATGTGTCAATGTGAAAACTAAAATTTGATACTAAACACCCCTTGAGAAAAATGTTGATGAATTGAAATGGTTGTCTAAAATGGTAAAGTCCTTGAAAGTTATAAAAACTTGTCCGAAAAACTTATTTGAACCTTGGGGAAATACTCCAATAAAAAGAGAGTCAACCTGAATCCCAATATAAAAGCTACATAAAGTAATGAAAAAAAGTGTAAGGAACAAAAGGGAATAGTTTGTCCATTAAGGTTTAAATATAAAAGGAAATTATCTATATATAAAATGCACTTTTTAAAAAATTTGTTGAATGTTTTAGCATATTTAGTTAAAGTTAAGCTAAGTAGTACTAGACTAGGTGACTTTCTAGGAATTTAAATTCAAAAACTTATATTTGGTATTAGAGGGGTCTTATATCCAATTCTATTATTTAACTAAAATAATCACAAATTGTTAATTTTGATATTATATTTGGTATTAGAGGGGCTTTATATCTAACTCTATTTCATAGTTATTTAGTTTTCATTCATAAGAGCATGACCTTATTAAGAAGTGTAGTGAATTGTAAGCAATCAAAAGGAATGCCAAAAACCAAACTAAAAAGTTTTTAAATAATGACAGAAACTCCTTTGCTTATGCCATTTTTTATCAACACATTTGTTATAACTAATTTGAGTATTAAAAGGATGGCCCCTACTCCAATGTTCACCACTATGGGAATGGAGGATAAAACTTCAAGCTCTATAAGAGGTGGGGGAATCTTCAAAAAGTGTTAAAGGTCTTGGTAATCCATCAAAAACTATTCTAAATTTAGTTAGGCATTTGTAATGGCCTTTATAAACTCAATAAGTATAAATTTATTTGTCATAGTTATGAGCTTAAACACAATATTTACAATGTCCTTAAACTCCAAGCTAAAACTTAACATCTTTTGGCTATTGCTACTTATTATAACTTATAAATCTATTAGAAGCTAAGAAAAATTTCTAGTAAGACATACCTATAATAGAAAGGATTTGGTAGTTTATAATATTTTATTGAGGTATTTGTTGTGATAGTAAGTTATACTTCTAATGCTAAATCATCATTAAGCATTGCAACTAAAGATTCACAAGTATAATATGGTTATGTGACACAAACCTTGCTCCTATAAAGTGTGTGAAAGTAATAGAATTGGAATTTTAAGAGGTGGATTTAACTATTAATTAATTTTCTCTTCCATAAAAGATTCACATGGGTGAAGAATAATGGGGGTCTTGATAGCTAAAATATTTACAACTAATGCTACTATATTGAAAATACAAAATCCTAAAAACTTCATTTCATCTCTCTCCTCTTAAACCAACTACAAAAATGGGTAATTGCTTGATAAAATAGCGTTTAGTGGTTATTTTATTCCCATTTATCTCCCAAAGTTCCAAGGATTTACTGTGATAGTATATCTAAATCTCATCCCATGATCACATGTGTTATACTCATCCCCCCTTCAAAGATATCAATGTTTTCATTAACTATTGACTAACAACCCCTACTGAGCCAACTATATTGAATCTACCAATTCTTCCATTATGTAGACAAATTATTCCATGTGAGGCAATTAATCATCCACCTATACCATAGTCCCACGGTGGATATCTTCATCTGTGGATACTCCACCAAAAGGAAAGACATATGCATGGATGCCTAATACATGCAATTTCAAATTTATAAACAGAAATATACTTTGCTCAAAGGTATATTATATTACCTTGCCCGTGTCATTTGCTTCGATACCACATGTAGCGCATCTTATTTCTCTCCCTTTAACTAATTAGAAAAGGGGCAATTACTTAATGAGAGAGCCTTTAGTGGTTATTTTATCTTCATTTATCCCTACAAGTTTTAAGGATCCACAGGGTTAGGAAAATTTAAATTTCATCCTATGATCACATGCACTATTTACACAAC